CCTGGCTGTGCTGGGACAGCCCAAGCCTTTCCTGGGCAGCAGAGGTGACCTGGCGGGTGTTCACCAGCACAGCCAAAAAAAGCCGCGCGGTTGCGTCAGGGGCAGCCCGAGAGGGGCTGTGCCAGAGCACACAGTGGTCACGGCCACCAGCAGACACTGCCTGATAAATGCCAAGCAGTGCCAGAGCTGCCTCTGTCCCTGCCACAGAGCAGGAGATGGATGCCCAGGAGCAACCACAGGGCTGTGGATAAACTCTGTGGGCTTTGCTTGTGCTTGACACAGCAGCTCTCTCCTTCCAGTGGCTCTGGGCTTCTCCTTTCAGAAACCACGAATGAAATGAAAGCATGTTCAGAAAATACTGGAGGGATCCCCTGTCATCCTCATGCCCACCAAAGGCTCTGCCCAACCCACTGTCTGTCACTGGCCAAAGGCTGCTGATAAAATAGAAGCCACCATTGTCACACAAGGAGAGCAGAGCCTGGTCCCTGTGGTCCGGCCCTTCCCACAGGGGCCTGTGAGCAGATTGAGTATGCCAAGGGGCAGCTTCATGCCCAGGAACCTGGGGCAGCCTCATCCCCAGGAACCTGGAGCTCCCCGAGCCCTCAGCTGCAAGATCAGCCAGCCAGAGCCCCTAATGTGAAACGCATGTTGGTTAAACCAAGAGATGACTGTAAAAAATAAGGGTCAGATTTCTCTGGCTGCAAAGCCTCCCACGTTACCCCAAGCCCTCTGGTTTCCTGTCTTCTGGCATGTGTGACCTTCTGCACAGTAACCCCAGTGCTCCCCACAGAGCCCAGGATGGCAGGAAGAATAAAGGGGAGTGAAGCTTTGCATAACATTCATCCAGGCTCGCCAGGAAAATAAGGAGACTGCTTGGAATGAGAGCACTGCTGGCCTTTTATGTCAGCTTTTCAAACATGAAAATGGGTCTCCCTGCTCTGGGCTAACGGGCCCCAGGACCTTCCCCAGGTGAGAGGAGCCCCAGTGTGGCTGCAACCCTCACCCATCCCCTGTAACCTCTGAAGATACAGCAACCTGGGCAAAAACATCTTGCCTCCCTTGGGCTGCCAGGGCTTACCCAGGGCTGCCCTGTTCTCGCAGAGAAAGCCAGGGGAGGCAGGGTGGGGCTGGAGCCCAGGACATGGCTGAGCTCCCACGGAGATGCTTCTCACTGGGGTGGATGGCTGTGGCCAATTGTCCATCTTCCTGGCTGACCCTGCTTGGAAATTCACCTCTGCTCAAGAAGCAGCCGAGAGCAGAAGTTGTGGGTGTCCTCTGACAGGGTGAGGGGCTGCTCCCAGCCCGGGGAAAGGACGAGGCTGTGCTCTGGCAGGCTGTGCCACCCTGCTGTCCCCTGGGGCAGTGAGGGTTGGGGTACAACCAGCCTGGAGCCACCTGGCCCTTCTCCACAGCGGGGAGTGACAAAGCTCCGGGGTGGGGGTTCAGCAAGCTGGCCCAGACCAGGGTGGCAGTGGATGAACCCTGGCAGGACCAGGTGTGAGCAGAGACTGAGGGAGATGGGGTAACAGGGAATGCTGCCAGTGCCTGTCTGGGTGGGACGTGCTGCTGTGCCCAGGGGGGAGGCACCGGGAAATCCGTGCTGGATTTTTCCCGGCCTCTGCTGAATCAGAATTAGGTTCCTCTGGAAAACCTAAATTTATCCTTGAAGCTGTGATGATGTATTTCACACATCCTACTCCCTCTCTCTGGAGTCTCCCTTACGTCTGCAATTTCCAACAACAAAGCAGCGCTGTGAGCAACCTTCCTGTAAATCATCCAGCCCTCCCTCCTGGTGATGAGATTTGGGGCTGAGCAGCTGCAGGAATTCGTGTGAGCTCAGACCAGGCTGAACTTTCACACAGTGACCTGCCAGGTCAGCCTGGGAAGGAGCGGGGTGGGGAAAGGGAGGGAACAAAGACGCTGCCCACGGCCCAGGGCTCCCAGCCTGGTGGGCACGGGCTGGAGATGGGGCTGGGGATGGGGATGGGGTTCACCACGTATGTGGGGGCTGTTTGAAGGAGCTCCTGTGAAGTGTGCTGGTGATGCTGCCTTTCCTGGGTGTCTGAGCTGGTGGGACTGCGTGGAAGAAGGGCTAGGGATGGATACAGTGACAGGAATAAGGATAGGGATTGGAGGATGGGGTTTGAAGCATCCCTTGGTTCCTGAGAGAATCTCCACAGAAAGCAACCTCCGCTGGAGTCTGCTGTTCCCTGCCCAAGGGCTGACCCCAGACACCCACAGGGAGCCCTGAGAGCCATTGCTGTGCCCTGCTGGTCCCTGTGCTGCTCTGGGTCCCAAGGCCCTGGGCTGGGGCAGGGTCCTCGTGGGGTCCCTCCTGAGGACCTGCACAGGGGACAGAGTCCTCCATCCCCTGGGACCAAACCTCAGTCCTTCCCTGGCCCCAAGCCAAGCTGGGCAGTGGGGACCCTACAGAGATTTTGACCACAGCCCTTTCCCACAGAGGACAGAGCAGGGCATGGAGAAATGCCCCAGGAGCTCACACTCTGCTGGCCAGGCCCCTGTAAGCTCCATTTAAACTCAAGAGCACCTGGCTCTGTGGAGAGCACCTTCCCATCGGCTCTGTGGTCATTCCTAGCCTGAGGCAGCTCATGGCCTCTGGGGGCTTTGCACTGTGTACCTTAAAAATGTGTATTTCTCAGGGCAAATCTGAGAAGTTGCAATAGGAAAACAAAGCCAAAGGAAAACACATAAATCATGTGGCTTCTCAACAGGCCTTGGCTTCTCACATTCCCTCTCTGCTGCCACTGCAGAAAAGAACCAGTGGAAACATGTCTGCTGCAGCACTCGGAGTAACCCCGTGGTTTCCCAGGACAAGCTGCAGCGTTGGGTAATGGTGGGAGGGAGCAGAGCTCACACAGGATTCATTCTGCCTGACGTCTTAACCCACAGCAACAGCCAACACATGAAACTGTGCTTCCCTGTTTGTCCCAGTGACTCAAGGGTTGGTGTTTTCCAGTCCAGAGGGCTCTTGAGGTGCCAAGCGCTCCAGCCCCAGGCATGACTCCTGCCAGCTCGCTCCCTCCTGGGATGCCAAAACCAGCAATGCAAGCTGAAAAGGAGAATTTTCATTTTTCAGATTCCATCTGGGAATTTTTGGCAGCCCTGGCAGCGCTCAGGGGTGGTGGGTATGGTGGCAGATCTGTCCTTGGCAGGGGGGCCATGGCCTGAGGGCAAGGGGGGCACAGGCCAGCAGAGAAGGTTGTTGGAGGGGTGCAATGGAGCCCCCTCCCCACCAGCACCACCTCTGCATCCCCAGCTCCTCTCTAGCAACAGTGCCAGGGAGAGCACAAAGGGAGACCCCAAAAGCACAAAGATTTTGAAAGACGAAGTTCACATTTTTATTTTCTTTTTCTCCTGCAGTGTTTCGTATCTGGGGTTTTTTTCCTCTTCCCTCACTTAAAAAATTCCTTCTGACCATGAAATAAATGTGAAAACAGTGGCTGGGGAGGGGGCTTGGGACTCTCTGGAGCGTGTGCCTGTTGGAATTTCTGAAATTCCTCTTTAACCTCTGCGACTCCACCCTGAGCTGTTGCTGCTGAGCGCGTTCTCCGAAGCCTCTCACTCACCTCTCGGACAGCATCAGCCTGAGAAATACTTGGAGATGTCGGAAAGAGAAATCCTCCTGCCAGGCCTTTCCGGGCAAGCTGAAAAGCCTTTCCCCGGGGCCGTGCCTGAGCTCAGCGCTCTGGGCAGCAGCGCTGGGATGGAGGCAGAGGTGCTGAGGGCTGGAGTGCAGCTCGGCCCGGGAACCGGGGGCTGCAGCCCCGGGCCCAGGGGGCTCACATCGGCCAGAGCCGGCAGCGGGGGAATCTCGCTCGGATTTGGCTCCGAGATGCAGAGCGGGAGGAGAGGCAGCTCCTGCCCGAGGCTGCGCGGTGCAGGGCAGGGATGGAGCGCTGGGGCAGCGGGAGGCAGCGCCCCGTGGGGAGGGAGCAGAAGGGCTCCATCTGCTCCGATCCGAGCGCAGCCGACTGCAGCTCCATCGCGGTGCGGGAATTCCTTCACGGAGAGAAAACACAGAGAATGGAAAATCCCTTAGAGCCAGCAGAAAAAGGCAGAACACGAAGGAAGTACCAGAAACCGAGACGTTGTCAAGACATTGACAAATACAATAAGATGCGCATTTTTCACAGGGGGTGATTGAAACCTGTGGGGGGAGGGTAGCGAGAGATGGATCTATTCATCCTTGTTGCTCTTGGAGACCAGGAACGTTAAGAGGAGTGAACATTCTGCTTCCCTCAGGTGTACAGAGGAGCTGACCCTAAGCATGCCCCCTCCCCAGGGCTGGCAGCACCCACCTGTGCCACAGGGTCCCCAGCAGAGCTCTGGGCCACAGGGTCCCTCTGTGCCACAGGGTCCCCAGCACAGCTCTGTGCCACAGGGTCCCTCTGTGCCACAGGGTGCTCCCGCCCGGGGCCAGCGCGTCCCGGAGGGTGACACGGGAGGGGGAACCATCGGGGCTTGGTGCAGATCGGGGGCCCCGGGCAGGATGAGGGGCAGGACAGTCAGGAGGGATGGGATAGGGATGGGCATGGGGACAGCGATGGGACAGGGACGGGCATGGGGACAGGGATGGGAACGGGGATAGGAAAGGAGACGGGCATAGGGTAGGGATTGGAACGGGGACCCCTAGGGATAGGAAAGCAGATGGGAATGGGGACAGAAATGGGAATGGGGATGGCATGAGGAGGGGAATGGGGACAGGGATGGAGACGAGGACAAGGACAGGAATGGAGACGGAGATAAGGATGGGAGCAGAGATGAGGACTGGTGCAGGCAGGGCTCAGCGCCAGGGACCGAGGACGGACAAGACCGGGAGCGGGCGGCGGATACGAGGCCTTAGCCACGGCCGACGGGGAGGGCGAACAAAGCGGCGGGGCCGGGCGGGCGGGGAGGGGCCGGTGCGGGGCCCTCCCCGCCACGGGGGCATAAAAGCGGGGCGGCGGCGGCGGTACGGGGAGCGGAGCGGGGCGGGCACGATGCAGCTCGGCGGCGCAGCGCTGCTGCTGTGCGCGGCGGGGCTGGCCGCGGCCCCCGCGCCCGCACCGGGAGCCGGGCCCGAGCGGCGGGCGGCGGCGGCGGGGGCCGGGCGGGAGCGGCGGGCGCAGTTCGCCTCCTGGGACGAGGTGAACGTGCTGGCCCACGGGCTGCTGCAGCTGGGGCACGGCCTGAAGGAGCACGTGGAGCGCACCAAGGGCCAGCTGCGGGAGCTGGGCGGGCGGCTGAGCGCCCACAACAGCTCCCTGGGGCGGCTGCTGCGGCAGGCGCGGGAGGCACAGGAGCGCGGCGAGCGGCTGCGGGGCAGCGTGCGGGAGCTGGAGGGCCGCGGCCGGCAGCTGCTCAACCTCTCCGAGGCGCTGCGGCAGCGGCTGGAGGAGGTGGCGGCGGACAAGGACGCGATCCAGGGCCGGCTGGAGCGGCTGGAGGGCCGGGTCCGGCTGGCGCTGCAGGCGCGGCCGGCCGGGAACCAGAGCGCTCGGGACCTGGGGGCGCTGCAGGTGAGCGCGGGGGGCACCGCGGCCGGGCGGGGAGGACGCGACAGGGCCCGGCACCGGCACCGGCGGGGAGCCTTGCTGGGGGGACACACCCCAGAGCCGCTAGGGGACACGGGAACCACTGCGGGAAACACCCGAGTGTCCCGGGACATCGGGAGCGGCGGGCGGGGATCAGCGGCAGGACAGCGGAGGGGTCTGGGGGCACCGGGAGCGCCCTCCCTGGAGCGATGGGGCTCACCTGGCTCTTCCCCCGCAGTCCCTGATGGATGCTCAGAACCTGCGCATCGAGGAGCTTCTGCAGAAAATCAAGCAGCAGCAGTACAAGCTGGACAAGCAGAACCTGCAGATTAAAAGCCTGCAGAGCAAGGTGAGCCCCTGTGCTGGGCTGCAGCCCCCAGCCTGGCCCTGCGTGCCGTGGGTGCCCTGGTGTGACAGCCCCGCCGTGCCAGCTCCGGTGGCTGTGCTGGTGCTCCCCGGCCTTGGGGACTCCAAAGGGGCCCCGGCTCCGGTCCCCGTGCTGCAGGGGATCCTCGGTGCGGGAGGGTGGCAGCCTGCACGCTTCCAGAGAGTTTGCACAGAGCAATAGCAGGGACTGGTGGGTGGGAACAGCCTCCCTGGGCTCTGCCTTTGCATTCATCTGCAGAATGAACTAGCTAGCATGGGTGTGAAAAACCACAATTGCTTCTGGCTTGGCCAGGACTGGGTGTCTCCTGTTCCTCGGGGTTTCTAGGCCAGTTCAGCCACAGCTCTGGCCGCAGGGAGTGGCTGGTGTGTGGCCGACCTGCTCCCCTGAGTAATGGAATAGAAACCAAGCTGAGATAAAACCGTTCTGACTTGTGCATTTTTTTTTTAGGTCAATCTACTAATTCCCCTACACCACAACAAAACACAGCCTCCAAAGTGGAAGATAAACCTGAAGAAGAGCCTCAACCTCACCAACCAGAGTCAGAATGGCAGTGGGGAGCCCGTGCAGACACAGAGTGAGTATCTGCTAATGCTGCCCTGCTCGTCCATGCCAGAGCAAACCTGTAGCAGGTGCAACCTTTTGGAAACAAAAGGCTCATTTGTCCTGAGCCAGGATGTGAGATTTGCTTGAAAAACTGGAGCTTGGGAGTATGGCCAGAGTGAGGGGATCTGGAGCGCAGGCAGAATCCTTGTCTTCTGGGCCAGTGTTAGTCCAGCAGGAATTCAAGGATTAAAGAGGCTGTTGTTAGGCATGCAGTGGGAAGCAGACAAAGCCAGGTATTTGTCAAAAAGGACTGGCAGGTGTGGGGTGGGGACAGGAGGGTCTCAGCTCTTTCGAGTTAACTCTTGTTCACACCAGGCAGTGAAGTGTCTCTGCCATCTGTGGGAGGAGGGTAGGGTTTAGGGAGGCCTGGCCTGAGAGCAGAGCTGTGTGCTTGTGTATCTCTCTCTTGGCTCATATTCAGAGCTCATGCATGAAACCCGAGTGTCTCAGCTCATACTATCCTTGGCTGGAGGTGCTGAGTTGCAGTGGATGCTCACAGCCCTGGGAAACGGAGCAGGAGAGTGGATGCTGCCATCTGCAGCTCCTGGCTCTGCCTGCAGCATCCTCTGCCCTGGCAGCGGGACTGGAGGGGCTCCTGCAGAGCAGAGGATAGCAGAGCAGGTGTCCCCAGCTGTGCCATGTCCTGCAGACAGGAACTGATGTCCCTGTAGGGGTTGCTGGCCAGGAGCAGCTGCTGCCATGCTGTGTCAGCCAGATCACAGCGCTGCCTCTGCCTGTGCTGCTTCAGGGAGCTTCAGCAGGAGCGAAACAGAAACCAGGCAGGATGGGGAATTCCTGCTCAGGGCCTGGCCCAGCAGGGATGGTTATGGGAAAACACATGATAACTTGTCTGTGGAGCCTGGAGCTGTCACTGGTGTGGCTGAAAGCTGGTTGGGCAGAGCAAAAGGCTTGTCCACATGGACTAGAAGAGAAGTGGAATGTGCGGCTTCAGACTCTTCCAGGGTACAGTTCAGTGGGGCTGTGCAGGGTCAGCCTTACTCAGAGCAGCACTTCTGAGCCAGAAAACTCTCTCAGAACTTCTCTCTCCTGTTTTTTTCCAAGCTCTGCTTTGTGACTTGCTGGCAGTAGTGTGTGTCATAGTTTGGGTGGGAAGGAACCTTTAGAGGTTATCAGGTATAACCCTTGATTCTACTCTTGGGTTATGCTGGGAGAAGGGCTGGGACCTTTGCTACCTGCTGATGCAGATGTAGGACGTTCTGGCTGACACTGGCTGCAGAATTGTCTGTGATGCATAGTGGAAGGCAGCAAGAGCCACAGCCCCCACGGATGCTGTGTGAGCTCAGCACCTTCCAGTGCTGCTCTGTCCCTGATGGAAAGACCCTGGACACTCCAATTCTGTCCCACCAGCTGTGAGCTTCCCCTTGCCTTGCCTAATCCCTGATGTTGGTATCACTGACAGGAAACAAATTGGCTTCCTTTCGTTATCAAGTCAAGTGAGTTTTCTGGCAAATCTTAAAGCACGCAGGCTGGCCCTGTGCCCAAGGGGACCTGTGGCTGCTGTCAGAGCTGGGCAGAGCTGGCAAGGCTGTGCCTTCTCTGGCAAATGTTTAAGCACACAGGCTGGCCCTGTGCCCTCAGGGCTGGGCAGAGCCCGGGGCCAGCACAGCCCTGGGGAGCGGCGCTGAACTCCCCCAGCAGCCCTTGCAGAAAGACCCTTTTATTTGCATCCAGTGAACACAAGTTTTTTCAGAGCAGAGCTGGCGTGGGGCCAAGCATGTGAAAGTTGAAGGCTCAAAGCTGCCTGGAGAGTGAGAGGTTTAATAGCTTGCAGAAAGAGGATCACGTCTTTGGGCAGAGCCTGTGCTTGCTGGCAGCCAGCCCAGTAGGGGAAAGGTAGAGCCCTGCTCAGGCTCTCCCCGTGGCGCTGAGACTCCAAAATAATGGGGCTGGGTTGGAGAGGGGGAGGCAATGCAGGCAGCTCTGGGCACGCCCTGCCGTCCCTGAGGATGGTGTTTATTCCAGGTTAGTGACCTCCCCTGTGTCATGGCTGGAAATCCTGTTGGGTGAACACAGAGCCTAAGGCAGATCCAGCCTTGTTGTGTTGCTTGGCTAAATAAAGGGGGAGGGAAAAGGAAACACAGGAGCAGTCAGGAGGGCTTGTTCTGCTGGTGCCGTTTGGATGTGCAACGTGAACTGGAATTAACAAGCATGTTCCTCAAACAAAAAGGTTGGGCAGAGGCTGTTCAAGCAGCTGCATCTCGTTCAGCTGCTGGAGAGTCCCTGTGGCACCAGGGGAACAGGGATTGAGTGCAGCCAGAGCCCTGAAATGAGAAACAGGCAGGGATGGAGGTGACTTGTGCATGCTGGGACCACTAAACATCTGCCTGGCGCCATCCCACCAATGCTGGGAGATGCAGTGAGGAGAGGAGATGAGGAGCTTGGCAAGCCCAGCACCTTCCTGCTGTGGCACTGTGAGCAGGGGCCTCTGGCTGTGGCGTTCCTTCCTCTGAGCCTGGTTTGCTTCCCTGCCTTTGCCCTTCCCCACCCAGAAGGTGGGGACATCCAGGGTGCCCTCAGCCTCTGCATTGCTGGGGGGCTCTGTGTGGTTTTGATGCTTGATGCACAATGCCCTCAGTCCCTGTGTCATGGGTTCAGGGTAGGGCTGGGGCACAGCTTGTCCTGTGGTGTGCTGGTGGTGGCACCAGTCCTGCCCTGGCATTGCCCTAGGGGTGTGCTGGCTGTGGGAGAGGGGCTGCCCCTGCCAAGGAAGGGAAATTTTGTGGGGAGAGAGGAAGGAAAAGAGAGGAATATGTTGGAAATGGGTGAAAGGTGATGGCAGGTGTCATTTTCCTGTCCCCTGGGTCCCCCCTGACCTTTCCTCCAGCTGGGGCTCTGCTCTTCACCCCAATGCAGCATCAAGAACTCCCCACACCCAGTGAGGATGGGGTGGGGTGATGCTCTGCAAGGGCTGCTTTTGCTCTTGGCAGTTCAAAGGCCCTTTATCCCCCCTTCCATCTGCCCCCAGGGAGCCCCCAGCTGTTGGAGGAAGCCCTTCTCCTTGCTGTGCTCTGGATCGTGGTGTCAGCCCTGACCCTGGGGCAGCTACTGTGAGGAGACCCCCAGAGCCAGCACCCAGCACAGCCCAGGGCTTGTCTTGAGGTTTCTTGTGTGTGTCAGGGTCAGGCTGGCAGCAGCTGTGAGCCAGGGTAGCCAAAGCTGCAGCCCATCCGCCCTGGCCCGGGGAGAACAGGGCCCCTTTGTCTGGGGGTGACTGGGGCACCTGTCCCTGCTGACAAAGAGCCCCTTGACTGTGCAGCAGCCTGGGGCTGAAGTCCCTGCACATCCTTCTGTGGCCTTTTGACTCGGGTGTTGTAACAGGTTCCCCCCGCCGCATCCCTCCCAAGTGCCGGGGGTGGTGGTTCCTGGATGGACTTTTATCAGAGCTGTTGAAATGGTGCTTTGCTGGCAGCTCTGGGCAAAGTCCCTGGGAGGCAGAAGGAGCAGTGGGAGCCCCTGGGGATGGAGGGGGATGAAGCAGGGTGTGGCTCCACCCTGGGCAATCCACTCCTGCAATGAGCTGGGGCTCCCAGAGTCCACCCCCCTCCTTGGCTCAGTCAGTGTGTCTTGCAAAAAGGGTCACCCCAGCCTGGCGCTGTGCCTGCTGGTGGCAGGCTGCCCAGCAGGATGTCTGTCTGGGCCACCACAGCTGCTGGGAGAAAGAGGTCATGTGCTGGATGCTCAGCCACCTTCCTGATGTCAGGACTTTGTCTTTGCCTGCTTCAGCCTCGTGTGGGATGGGGATGCTTGGGCATTGCCCCACCCCAAATGGGCCACTCCTGTCTGTGAGTGTAGAGGGACCTGGGAACTCCTCTGTCCCTCCTTGATGGGGAGCCCTGCTCTCCAGCTGAGATCACTCTAGCCTGGCCCAAAGCCTGGCTTCTGCCTTGGATGAGAGCCCGAGGAGCTCTGTTTGAATAAAAGGGAAGATGTGGGGTCACAGTGTTTAAAGATGCTGAGGTCAGGGGCCGTTGTCCCCAGCACGTGTCCGGAGCTGAGCGCAGCTGGCCGGGCTCGTGGCCAGGGCTGCAAGTGCTGGGGCTGTGCTGGAGCAACCTGCTGAGGAACTGGGGCTCGTGGCCATCTCCTCAGTTGCTGTTTCCTTCCCCTGCAGAGCTCCCAGAGGGTTGTCACCAGCTCTTCCTGGCTGGGCAGCGAAGCAGTGGCGTTTTCCAGGTACAGCCCACAGGATCTCAGCCCTTCAAAGTCTACTGTGACATGACTGCAGGTAAAGCCGTGCAGCGTCCCGGGCCCTTGGCAGGGTGGCCTGGTGAATGGCAACCCCTGTGACTGTGTTCCCTTCCCACAGAGGGTGGCTGGACAGTGATTCAGAGGCGCCTGGATGGCTCTGTGGACTTTGACCAGCTGTGGGATGCCTACAAGAATGGCTTTGGAGACCTTCGTGGTAGGTGGATGGTGGTGTCTGTGTTCTCACTGTGGGATAAGGGAAGCTTAGCCAAAGGTATTCCCCTTGCTGGCCTCTGGAGCACAGATGTGGGCTGAAGGGTGGGTGGGACAGTGCTTGCAGAGCAGGGGTCCTTGATCTTCCTGATGTGTCCTGCAGGTGTGAGACAGTGATTCAAACCCTGCCGTGTCCTAGGTTTTCCCCGTTTGTCTCTGGAGCTTGCTCGTGTCTCTGCTTTTCATGGCGTGTTTGTGTCCCTGCAGCCAAAGTCATGAGTCTTATTTCAGGTGACTTCTGGCTGGGCCTGGAGAAGATACATCACCTTGTCCAAGAGGGAAAGTACAATCTCCTGATTGAGCTGGAAGACTGGGAGGGGAATTCCCAGGTGGTTCAGTTTGTCTTCAGTCTTGGTGGTGAGAGCACAGCCTACACCCTCAACCTGCTGGGGCCTCTGTCTGGAGAGCTGGAAAACGCCATTGGGGAATTCAGGCAGCTGCCTTTCTCCACTCGGGACCGTGACCATGACCTTAAAGCTGACACAAACTGTGCCAAACACCTCTCAGGTCAGTCTGAGGTCTTCTATCCCAGTATGTGCACTTCCCTTTCAGCCCTCCACGGTCTGGTGGGACCCAGACCCTGTGGCTCTAGACCCCTTTGCTGTTGAGCTGTTCTTGTCCCCTGGGACAGCTGCTTCTTTGGGAGGAACTGTGCAGGGATCCAAGAGGGAAGCTGAAGCCGAGGGAGGGTTCATGATTCAGGTCTTGGCCCAAGCATCTGTGCTCATAACAGCTTTGCTGTCTGCCACTTAGCATGGAACCTTTTCAAGCAGAGCAGAGACCCCCCCTGGCCCTGGCTGCTGAAGGGTTGGAGGGGGTTTTGCACACAAGGAGCAGCAGCCTGGATTTGCAGACGCAGCCTGAAGTTGTGTCAGATCTGTGAGAGATTCCCTGTGCACGGGACTCCTTGGCTGTACGTGAGGCGGTCTTTTAAGATCCTGAAGTTCTAGAAAAATGGGGGAAATAGGGACATCAGCTGCATTGAACCTAGTTTTTTCTGTCTGGAATTTCTATGAGTTAAAATTGTCCCTTCACTGCCTGTGTAGGTGGCTGGTGGTTCAGCACCTGTGGCCATGCCAACCTCAATGGGAAGTATTTCCGCTCCATCCCGCGGCAGAGGCACGAGCGCAAGCAGGGCATCTTCTGGAAGACATGGAAGGGCAGGTACTACCCCCTGAAGTCAACCATCATGAAAATCCAACCTGCAGCACTGGAAACAGAGCCCTAAAGTTCCTACTTGAGACTTTCTCTGTGGAGCATGGACCTGAGCTCCATCACTCGGTGTTTACAGAAAACAACCTCCCCTTCCTTGGTTAGAAGCCCTTTAGAGGCACAACACTGCTCCTCACTAAAAGTAAAACAGCTCCACATTTCCAGAACCTCTGGATGGGAGTTCCCAAACCTGAAGAGGAGCCCCAGGAGGGAGATCCACCTCCAGAGCATGCACAAGGGTTTTCTGACCTGCCATGTGCTGCTGCAGCAAGTTCAAATTGTCCGGTGCTTTTTATCCTGTCTTAACATTTCTGTACTGTGTTGATGAGCTGGGCCTGGGGCAGGAGGGGCACAGGAAGTGTCTCACTGCCCTGGACCACAGCACTGGGTATGGAGTCTTGCTATGTCCTGTCTTTCACTGTTGTTCCCCAATGATGTCCCAGGTACCCCCTGTGAGAGCCCCTGGAGCTCCTTCCTGTGCAGGGGCTGGGGGCAGTGAGCTCAGGCAGCTCCATCTGTGCAGCCCCTGCCCCCTGAGGTGCAGGGCTCGGTGGGAAAGCTGAGAGTGACCTGTGCAGAAGGGGAGACCTCAGGCTCACTTGCCTTCCCTTTGAAGACCTGTATTTCTGGCAGTGCTGGAATTTGCTGGGAGCTGGGAAAACTGCTTCCAGCTCTGAGCTTGTTGGGTGAGATCCTGCAGCTGGTTGCCTGAGGGGCCAGGTCCTGGGCAGCTCTGCCTGCCCGTGCTGCTGGGGGTGGTGGGGACAGCAGTGGGACAGCACAGACCCAGAGCAGTGGCTGTCCCTGGGGGGCACCAGCCTTGCTGGCACTGTCAGCGCCCCAGAAGTGGGGGCTGCCCTCTTCCTCCAGACACCTCACAGAGTGACTGGACCTGTCCTGCATGTGTGTCCCAGTACTACAAAGCCAGGGGACAGCAGGGTTTCTCTGCAAGAGCCACACTTGATTAGCTGTGTACTATGATATATGGCATCACCTCTGCCTTTTGGATGGGTGTCTGGGGAGAGGTGGCCAAAACAGGTCCCTGAAAACTTACAGGCCAAGCTACAGTCTTGGGGCTTCCCAAGCATCCTACCCTATTGAAGTCATATTGACTACTGTGCTAGAGCTCCTAGCTGCTAAATACTGTACATAGTTGTTTGTAGGATGTTGGACTCGTTGATGAATTCTCTGTTTCAATTTGTTTTGATATTTAAATGCAGTGTTAATAACAATGTGGTGTAATTTATAAATGTTGATGCTGGAAAGGAAAGCAAGTGTAGTTTGTGTATTTTAAACATTTTTTGTACTAAAATATCTTTTCTGAAGATGTCTTTTAATAAAAACAAGCCTTTAAGTGTCCTGCCTGGATTATTTTCCTGATGGTTTACCTGTGGCAGGTGTGTGGGAGCATTGTGATGAGTCTGCATTTGAAAACTTTATTGGAATTGTGACCTAAGCACTCCACTCCCTTCTGGCCTCCGTGTTCAGCTGTAGCCTTATGAAGCTCTGATAAGTTGCTGGTATAGGGCCCAGCAGCAGGTTTTAATCTGCTTGAAGTTTAATTTCTTTTCTTCCTGGAAATTAGACTGTGGGGCAGCAGCTTTTTAAGAAGTGAAATTAGACTGTGGGGCAGCAGCTTTTTAAGAAGTGCTGATGTGTTGGGTTTTCTTATTCCCTGATGGTAGACCTTTGAAGGAAGGGGACATTCCTTGGAGGTGGCTGGAAAAGCCTGTGCCAACTCTTTGAAAATGAGCAGAGGCTGAAGTCTGGATAATCCAGGCCAACAAAGAAAATCCAGGCCATCAGCTGATCAGGGCAAGCCCCATTAAATAGCAGCCTTTTAGCTGCTCATAACGCATCTGTGTAGTCATCTCCAAAAGCATTTATTGTCACTTCTGTGGGGGTGATTGTAGATGTGGGGATGAGATGAGCTGGGGCTGGAGCAGGGATCTTCAAGGTGATGGGGGTAAATTCCAGCAGTGCTCCCAATTCCCTCTATATTTTTTCCTCCAGCTCCAATATGCTAGAGCTGGAGAAAATCCTAGGTGCTTGCTTGCTATACAAGGAAGGAAGAGGAGATGAGACTGGTCTAGTCCCCTGAGCAGCTCTATAAATACCTCACGTACCTAAATGTGGCCCCAGCTCCCACATCTGTCCTGCTTCCCTGGGGGAAATCCCAGGGTTGATGATAGCTCCAAACACAACTGTGCAAACAGCCCGTTATGCCCAGCTCTGAGCTCACTCCTGCATTCAGAAATGCATTTTTAATATTCTCTTTGCTTAATTCAAAACCTGCTTAGTCCTTGAGTGCAGCAGCAGATACTGGAGTGCATGTTTTAATCTGAATGCTAAAGTGATGAGACTGAGGTGGGATTTATGCATCAAATAGAAGCTGGTGAAAGAGCTCTTCTGCAATGCCAGTTTTTTTGCATACTTGGGGTTTGCTCCCCGAGTCTTTGTGATGTATTTGATCTGCAGGAGGTGCCTGGTGGGTGGTACCAGCCAGTACCAGACACCGTCCAGGGTTTAGTAAATGCCAAATGGGCAAATGCTAAATGCTCTAAATCTTGCCTATGCTAGGGATCACAGCTTCTCCTTTTCTGTGTGTCTCAGTCTTGCCTGTTCTGCTGCACATTCCATCAGTGTCGGTGCCATCCATGCCCCAGGGCCATCGGTGCCACACTGGAGCATGTGGCATCCTCGGGCCCCTTCAAGCTCCCTCTGCAGAAGCCAGGTCTGGATCTGTTTTCATCTAAAATCCCCCACCTCTTTGCTTTTTAACAACCGCTTCAACTGCAGCTCGTGGCAGCATCTCGGAGCTGCCTCAGGGCTCCCTCCAGCGCCAGCCCCGCACAGCGCGGCCCGAGCACAGCTCCGAGAGCAGCGCCGGCAGAAACAGCCCCGAGCACAGCTCCGAGCACAGCTCCGAGAGCAGCTCCGAGCATAGCTCCGGCAGGAACGGCTCCGAGCACAGTTCCTGCAGGAACAGCCCCGAGCACAGCCCCGGCAGGAATGGCTCCGAGCACAGCTCCAAGCACAGCTCCGAGCACAGCTCCGGCAGGAACAGCCCCGAGCACAGCTCCGAGCACAGCTCCGGCAGGAACAGCCCCGAGCTCAGCTCCTGCTGCTCCCAAAGCAGCCGTGCTCCTGCAGGGGCCGGGACCCGCTGTGCCAGCCGGCACTTCAGGAGCCCCCAGCAAAACCCCAGTGAGGGCTGGTCTAAGGGCTGCTTCTGAAGGTGGGGATGGTGCAGACCAAAGGCTGCAGGGTCTGGACATGGTGGGATGGGGTTTTTGGGGCCAGCAGCACTGTGGGATAGGCTCGGGCTGTGCTCCAATGGGTGGCACTGAGCTAGCGTGCCTGCCCCTCAGTGCCGAGCTTGGAGCCGTCAGTAGAAGCGGATTGTCCCGAGATTCTCACAAAGCATCATTAGATCAAGATGAAGTTTTACATCAGGCACCAACATCTCGAGCCAGCTGTGTTTGCGGCCCCAAAAAGTGAGGATAGGCTCAGCCTGCTGCACAGAGCTCCCTCTGGACAGTAACAACAGCCATCGAGAGATGTGACAGCAGAGCCTCAAGCTCTTTTTCATTCTTCAGTGGAAACCAAATCGTTATTTGGCAAAAAGGGAAGGTGTTTGTGTGCACACAGAGCTGCACCAGCTTGGAAGGGCAGGCTGAACCCCTGCATCCACGGCACCAAGGTGCTGGAGTGAGTAAGCCAGAGGCATCACCTGAGCCCCCCACCACCAGTGTAGCACCACAGCAGGGGTATAAACCCAAAAAAGGCAAAATGGCAAATCCCCACTGAGACCAGAGAGCTGCCACACAGCCAAGGAAGAGCAAACTGGAAGCAAGAGAAAAGTTCCCCATCCGCCAACACTCTCCAGCCACCCCCAGCCCAGCACTCAGCCTCACTAGCACTAGCAAGGGCCACACTTTCAAAGGCATCCCTGGCTCCCAATGCCTCAGGGTGCCTGGCAGATGCAGGGGAGCCAGGAGCCTCCCAGTCCTCCCAGTAGCTTCATCTCTTCTGCTGGAGCTCAGCAGCACTGAGCACAAATTGAGTTTCTTGTGGACGTGCCAGGAAGAGCTTTGCCCCTGCACCTTTACCAGGGACACCTCCCCAGCACAGTGCTCTGGGGCGGCTCCTTGAGGGTGCTCGTGGACTCCTAGGGGTTCAGATCCCACTAAGAGGGTGGGAAGGGGAAATCCTGGCTCAAACATACTGAGCAGGTGTCTGTGTTTCTGGGACACTGCAGGGGTTGAGGCTCTCAGGACAAATTTCAGCATCTCACATGATCATTTTGGGCAAGTTTCTATCATGTTCAAAAAAGAAGCAGATGGCATAGACAGCTCTTCAGGGTGTGGACCCCAGCAGAGTTTAAAATATTTGGGGCTAGCAGGACCCCCGCTGGCTGTTGAGGAGCACAGGCAGAGCAGGTGGCTCAGTGGGATGCCCAGAGGGGCATTAGACCGGTCAGAAAGGTTTCCTTAATAGTTTGTCAGTCCAGGTGGGACCCACTACCTTTGGAGTCTTCCTTCTCCAAGCACCCAAACGGTGCTACCAGGTGAGTTCATCTGCATCTTTGGAGCAGGGAGGAGCCTGAGCATGGCTGTTCAAATTCCCTGAGCACATTCAATATAAATGATAAGGGTGGACCTGGCCCCTCTGTTGGGGCATCATTTTGCTCAGATTTGGTGACACTCCTGCGGGGATTGGAGCCCCACGGGAGGCACACACAGAAGGTGGTAAAGTGTATTTGTTTTAGCGTGTAAAAGGGTGGTTCAAGCCCCTCTTAGTGCTTGAAAAGTTGGGACAAGAAGCACTGACAAGAAGCCGCCCTTGGCCGAGGCTGTGCAGAACAATCCCCGGCCCCGGGAGCGGCACCAGCGCGGTGGGGCCGGGGCCGTGTCCACAGCTCTGCCTGTCACCAACATCTTTTCATAAAAATCCTTTCTTTAAGATTTTTCTTCCTTCTGAGAAGCTGTAGCCTCAGCAACAAAATGTAAACAATGGTTATCTGCTGCTGTAGAATGCAACAGGTAGATCCGTGATTGGTCTTGGGTGAATGTTTGGATTTACTGACCACTCACGGCACAGCTGCATCTCACTCTGTGCTGAGACACAGAACTTTGTTATTCATTCCTTTTCTATTCTGAAGTTAGCTAGCTTCTGAGAACTTTCTCTCTATTCTTTTTAGCATAGTAATAATGTAATATATATAATAAAATAACAAATCAAGCCTTCTGAACATGAAGTCAAGATTCTCGCCTCTCTCTTCACCCTGAAAACCCTTGCAAGCCCTGTAACACCTGCCGAGCCGGGGCCCTGCGGGGACTGAGGGCACTCGGTGGGCTGGGCTGAGCTGGGCTCGGAGGAAAAAAGGCTGAGGGAGAGTGGTTGAAGCATTTTAAAAGACACAGTGAGAACCTAGTAAAAATCATGCGCTAGAAACAGTATTTAGGTTTGGTGATTCCTTCAAGACATTTTAATCTAAGAGTTGATTTAAAAAAAAAGAATTGTGCGCTTCTGGGAAGCTTTTGTTCCAGCTCCCAGGAGAGCTGCATCTCTGGGGCACCAACATCTGCAGAGGGAGCTGCTCCCTCGGGGTCACTGTGCACACAGAGCCCCCTCAAAATGGGAGATTCGGGTAGATCCGCAACCAGAGGTACCTCAGCTTCAAAATGTGTACTGCTTGTGTCAGTTTTCCTGGAAAACTTGAATTGTTTGTGAATTCAGATTTAATTGTAACTATTTGAATGGATTGTTGGGGTG